GCGAAGCGCAGAGACTCGCTCGCCCGGGGTCCCTCCCCGCGGCACGGCTGCGCTGCAAGGGTTTGCAGGCCCGGCCCGGCGCCTCGGGGGCCTGGGTCTCGTGCCCGCCCCCCGGTGCCCGCTGCGGAGACAGCCTCCCCTCCCCCGGCCCCGCGCGCCCGGCTGAGGGGACGGGACCGGCCCCCAGGGCACGGCCGTGGCGCGCTCACCTTCGTCCGCGTCGTACATCTTGGCAGCGCGGGGTGGCCTCCACTGCAACTACCGACACCGGCCCGTCGCCGCGATGGAGGGGCTGCGAATGCGCAGGCGCGTGACACTAGGCCGAACTGCGGCTGCGCACGATTTAGATCCCGCCTCCTTACCGCACTGCAGCTGCGTGCGGCTCCAGGCTCTCACTTCGGCTGCGCACGCTGTGAGCGGGCCTCCCCGCCTCACTCCCGTTCGCACTGCGGCTGCGCGCGCACGTCGCGCTGTGGTCCGCCGGAGCCGCCTCGTGACCACTTCCGGGGGAAGACTTGAGGAACGCGCTTGCGCGCGGCTCAGGGGAGAGGCGCGAATGAACTGCGGAATGCGCGTGCGCATTGAGGCGGGGTGGCAAGTACCATTCTCCCAAAATAGGGGGGGAGCATAATAGTGCTGTTCCCGTCCCAGCCGAGGGGAGGGTAGAGAGTTGGACTGAAGCCTGGCGGAGAGTCGGGGCTGTGCCCAGCTGTAGCAGTAGGACACCACTCCACCCCCTCGTTCAGGGTCCGAGCATCAGGCCAGGGGCGCTGCCAGCTCGCTCAATTGTATTGCAAGGCTTGCAGTAGTGGGGGGTTACAGAAAGACCCAGCTCTTGGAGTCGTGGTGTCAAGTGGGTAGGGTGACCAGATGTCCCGATTTTATAGGGACAGTCCCGATTTTTGGGTCTTTTTCTTATATAGGCTCCTATTACCCCCCACCCCCTGTCCTGATTTTTCACACTTGCTGTCTGGTCATCCTACAGGTGGGAGTCCCTGCTTTTACTCTACTTACAAAAACGTTTCCAGGCCTGGTGGAGAAAAGCTTGAAAGCATCACCCTGGGAGGCTGAGCCAGCGGAAGGCAATTAAACCCCATCCAAGAGCTAGCAACAGCTCATGATTTGAAAATCAATCTTTTGATTTTTGAATCCTTGAGGCTGGCAGTACTAGGTCGGTGGTTTCTGGGGCTACTCATCTTGTTTTCCCGGACAGAGACTCTTTTTTGAGCCTCCGTTCTCTGTCCTGGTGGATTTTTCAAATATCAGGCAATGTCTTGGATTCTTGCAGAGCAGATGCTGTACCTCAGAAAGATCCCTGCTTGATCCGCTTCCAATGGGTCCCTGCCCTGCATCCACAGCTGATCGATCTATTCCCCTGCGGCCACAGCTGCTGGATCCCTGCCCCCAGCCCTGGGGAAGGAGTCCTGCAGGGAGGGGCTGCCTGACGGACATCACTGCATCCCGAGCTTGTGCCAGCTCCCCTGCCACCATGACAGGGAGTGACACTGCCCCCCACCTCCAGTGATTACCCCCACTCAGGGGTGAAAGTAAGGCAGTACGGCGTACTGGTAAAAAGTAGCCACCAGTACCAGCCCGTACCGCAGACTTTAAAGCGCTACCACGGCAGCGCTTTAAGGACCCTGCCGCAGCAGCGCTTTAATGTCGTTGCCCATTTT